TATATATATATATATATATATTCCATTGAATATATGATACCCTACCACTTACTCCGTAGTTCGACTTTGGGAAAACCTGGTCTGTCTTTGGAACTCATTGAACTGTTAGAAAAGCCCATTGTAACTTGTTTGGTGCTGTTGAGTTGTTTCCAACTCATAGCGACCCTCTGTACAGCAGAACAAAACACTGTGCAGTCCTGTGCCAGCCCCATGATCCTTGCTATACCTGAGCCCACGTTATAGTCACTATGTCAGTCCATCTTGTTGAGGGCCTTCTTTTTTTGTTGACTCTCCCCTTTACAAAGCATGATATCCTTCTCCAGGGTATGGTCCCTTCTGATAACATGACCAAAGTAGGTGAGATGAATTGTATGCACTTTATTACAGAAGTTCAAGCTGTTGTTACTATTAGGTCCTTACTTAGTTATGTGTGAAATAAGGTGTCAGGTTAGAAACAGCAAAAGTGAAGTGGCAGTTTACAATGCAAAATGACATATTAGTTGATTCTAGAAACACTTATGGAATTGAGGAACCATATTACTGCAGAGGTAAATAAAGTTTGTTCATCTACACACCTGAAGCATTATTTAATGATACAGTAATTAATATTGATAGTAGCGGTCATTAGTTATTAAAGAAAAACATTGTTGGTTCATCTCATTTAAGAAAGTAAGGGAGCATGTAAAATGTTTTATTAGCAAATTTGTCATTACAAATTATTAAACCATTTGGTGAGTAATTTGTTTTCCATTTTTTTGAAAATCATTTCTGTAGACTTTTCTTATTTTCCCTGTATACTAGACAGATGTGACGTTGCTGAAGTTTTAGCAAGAACATCAAATTGTTTTGTTAGTAAGTCTATTTTAATATATGCTAAAGGGGCATGGAGGTGGCGTCTTCTGACCTCCTCTGGCTACACAAGAGGAGGACAGAATCACCATCATATGTGTGGCCAGACATGACACCACCCTCCAGCCCTCTCACCAACATTGACACCAACTGTTCCTCCTGCAGCACCCACCACCACTCTTCTGGAAAACAGAAAGTGATAATTTTTTTCAGTGGTCACACAGAACTCACAGATTATGGAGTTTATTAGGGAAGCAACAGGCTACAATTCAAGTTCAGGAATCCGCTTCGTCTCTCTCAGCTGGCCCATCTCTCTCAGCCAGCAGTTTCTCTCAGTAGCACATCTTTCTCAGCACGGTATCTCTCGCAAGTCTCTCTCTCAGATGTGTGTCTCCCTCACATGTCTCTCTCTCTCTCTCAGCAAGCACGTCTCTCAGCCTGCAGTCAGATTAGTTTTGCCTGTAGGAGGACTCATTTTGAGCCTGGCAGAGTGGCAAAACTAACCAATCCCAAGATCAGAATTCTACACACCTGAGAGAGAGCAGACTTCCCAGAAGATTGCTTCATGCCTCTCCAACAGAAATACACCAGGTGGATAACTTTAACAATCAGGTACTCAGTTGCTCACTGCAAAGTGGAAGTTACAAAGACTATGGCTAGATAAGCTATACCATGTAATTTACTACTGCAGTATATTTCAAGTTTATTGCTATGGATGAAATAGTTTATTTTCTTCATTTGCAGATTCTTTATCCTATCCTGTTATGCAAAATGTTCAACCCTCCAAGCCAAGCCCAGTAGTATCCACCGTTTTGTCAGGAACTTCTTCAACAAGAACTCCTCCCACTGCAAATCACCCAGTTAAGCCTGTGGCCTCTGTCACGCAGCCATCAGAGCTATTACAACAGAAAGGTATTTGAGAAATGTGTTATACTATGTATTCAAATAACTAATTTAAAAAAGCCAAACCATATAACCATAATCAGTATAAAACATGAAAAAAGTAATTTATACCCTCAATCCAAACAAGATTGTTTTCTTTTTTTTTTTTTTGTATATTAATTCCAGTCTCTGTTTTTGACTATGTATTTTATATAACTGCAATCGTAGTTACATGTCATTTTGTATTTTGCTTTTACATTTGTTAGAATATACACAGTTCTTCATATATCTATATAGTCATTATTTAAGGTCATTTCATGGCTAATAATCCATTGTGTTGATGTATTATAATTTATTAATCTATCCCCAAAGAGCTCTGGTAGTGTAGTGCCTAAGGCATTTGACTGCTAACCAGAAGGCTGGCGGTTCAAACCCACCAGCCACTCCTCAGAAGGAAAGTTGGGCAATCTATTTCCATAGTGATACCACCTCGGAAACCTAAGGAGGGTTTGCTATGAATTAGTTTCGACTAGATGACACATAACAACAATAACAACAACCTATCCCCTTATCTTGGGGATTTCCTTATTTCTTGTTTTTTAAAGGCAGTTGTCATTTGTTTTACAATAGAGCAACCCCAGATTTCCTTGAGTTCCTGGAGTTATTGGCTCTATATCCTTTTTGATGATTTCTATGTTTGTCATTCTTACTAAAGGAAAATAATCTTTTCCTCACATTGTAGAGATGAGAAAGGGTGAAAATGAAAGTGTAACTCACACTCTGGTGGCACTGACAAACTTTACAATTTGTTTGTTTAATATTCTTCACATGTCAAATAAATGACAGGTAACTAAGATACATTGTTTTGACCCTATTTCCTCACATTTTCTTTTCTTTTGGCAATGTTCTTCCTCTGGCTAGAATCCCAAAGCTATTTATGTTTCAGGTTAATATACTGTATTTTCCATTTAACCAGACCCTGAACTGTTTTCAGGACTTTCTAGTTTGTATTTCCAGAGCAACCATTAGTAATATTTTAGGGACTATTTTCTCTATTTAGTGATAGCTCCCAGCCTTTAGTATGAAGAATCCTCTTAAGTGCTGAATCTTAGGAATAAAGAAAAAGCATAATAAATTCTTAGGCTGATTTCACTGTTTGTATCTGTTAACTGTTTATGTGGTCAGCAGAGACCTTTCTATCAGTTGCATCAGTTTATACATTGTGAGTTTCCTTATTTGTTTTTATGGGAAAATCCGCTGTGGTACCTAAGGAGTGTCCAGTGATTCCCAGCACATTAGTGAGTATACTGGTAGTAGAATCTAGTTCTTATAAACATTTGCCTTCCAAATGAAGGGCTGGTAGGAAAGTCATGCTTATCATGACTAGGAAAAAACTTAAAAGATGGGTTGAAACTCTGACTAAATGAATAGTGTCTTTTCGTGCCTTCCTTTTACATCTGTGACTGCCTTCTACTCTTGCTTCTTTTGACCCTTTGCATTTCCCCCCTAATTTCTTTCTTCCCGTCTTACTTTCTTTGTGAGCATCTTATTTAGATACCATCCTACCATCTTACTCTAAAGATCCTTTCCTAAAACTACCTTTTCATTAAAAAATCACAATTCTCTTTCTTCTTTTTTCTCACTAATAAAACAGATTTTGCAAAGAGAAGGAGCTACTTTTTATTGAGAATTTACAGTGTATCAGATACTTTATATTTATTTTCTCATTAACCCCGATATTGATACTATTAGATAGATCTCATCCCTGTTTTACAAATGAGAAAATTGAGATTCACAGAGGTTCAGTAACTTGCCTAAGATTAGAAGTTACAAAGTAGCAGAGTAAAAGATTTTTAATTAAAACCTCTCTATCTTGTTCTCTTTCTGTAAAATGAAGTTGAGATTTTTTATTGGCTGTTGACAAACTCTTTATCTAAGGTAAGTTCCCTGCATTAATAACAGAAAAGACAATGCTGAAAAGATTTGAATTGCACTTTTTATTGTTCCTTTCTCTTAAATGAGAGATTGACCGCTTTGGATAGATCTGGGTTAACCTGTTACCTGTTACCATCAAGTTGATTCCAACTCATAGTAACCCTATAGGACAGAGTAAAACTGCCCTACAGGGTTTTCCAAGGCTGTGAATCGGGAGCAGACTGACATATATTTATTTCTCCTGCAAAGCAGCTGATAGTTTCAAACTGCCATTCTTTTTGTTAGCAGCCAAATGCTTTAACCACTGCACCAGCAGAGCTCCTTTAGATCTGGGATATACAATACAACCTAATTGTTCATGTGAATTGGGTTGTGCAAGTAATACTTTATACAGATGGTGCCTCTTAAGAGTTGTGCAGCATACAACCTGCATAACGTATGTTGTGGATCTGATGTAACTACTGAAATATTAAATACGTCGCAGAGATTAGTCATTTTTTCTCCTAGCTGCAAAGATATCCTCCATAGTTGTTCTCCCAAGACTCATTCCAGAAGTAGATTGCTCAGTCTTCCTTCCAAGCAGTGGCTAGTGGGTTTGAACCACCATCCTTCTGGTTAGCAGTCATATGCCTTAGGCACTATGCTTCTAGAGCTCCTGTTCTTTAAGTGGGAAGGCTTCTAATTTTTTGCTTGTGTATCCCCTAAAAGACAGTTGAAAAAACTATTAAAACTCCTTGAACATTTTTAGATTGGCATTTAAAGTTTTTTTTTTAAAAAAAAAAAAAAGCTTAAACAGTTCCATTTATGTAATTCCCAATATATTATATATGTTGACGTTTTAAAGCAAAGATGTTATATTATCTCGTGAAATAATACCAACCATCATTCTTTCAGAAAATATACAAAGCCCTTCTTTAAACATTTAGAAGGTTTGTATTTTCCCTTTTTCTTCCTGAAGCCGTATCTTCCTACCCAGAATGTAATAATATATTCTTGAATTATAAATTCTTTTTTCACCCAATCATACATCTGTGCCACAATGATATTATATAAATTGAAATTTTAGAAGTTGCCCTCCCCATAGTATTCTGTTATTACCCTTTTTATTTCTGTTGGTTCTGTTGTGATCTCTCCCGTTTCATTTATTATTTATGTTATTTGCATCTTCTCTTTCTTTTCCTTAGTTAAATTTGTCAGTAGTTTGTTAATTTTATTAATCTTTTTGTATAACAACTTCTAGTCTTATTGATATTATGTACAGTTTTTCTGTTTTCTGCTTTATTTCTATTCAGTTCTTTATTATTTCTTTTCTTCTGGAGACTGTAGGCTTCTTTTGGTTTTCATTTTCTAATTGTTGGAGTTATTAGGGTAAGGTATTGATTTTAGTTCTTTCTTATTTTTTGATAGGTGCATTAATTGATATAAATCAACCTTTGAGTACCGTTTTCACTACGTCCCAAAAGTCTGTTGTGTTTTCATTCTTGTTTGTTTCTAGAAATTTTTTAATTTCACACTTTATTTTTTTGTTTCCTAGTGGCTCTTGAGCAGTGTATTGTACAGTTTCCATGTATTTTTTACCTTGGTCCTCCTATTACTGATTTATGATTTTATAGTATTGTGATCTGAAATTGTTCTCTTTTCAATGATGTTAAGTCTCTAAGCATTAATGTTTTTTTTTCTTCTGGATTAAGTTATCATTACAATTATTATTAGTATGTAGTTGGTCAAAACAACACACACACACACACACACGCACACACACATCATGAATTTTTATATTATTAATGTGGACAGTACATTTTTATTGGAAATTAATCTTTCAGTGAGATAAATGGGCTCTCTCACTCTTCACCATTGCTTTGTGTATCTCGGTTGGGTATGATTCTTTGTTTGAATGAAGGAGGAACCAGATAAATTTGACTTCTAGTTTTCATTTTTGTATATATAAATGCTGAGAAATTTTGCTCACACAAAGTAGATGAGAATGGTATTGGAAAGATTTTATTAAATCAGTATTTTTCTGGTTTTTCTGAGTTAAATGTCAGAAGTTTTTGTAATTCATTAAATTTTATTTTCCAGTTTTTAATGTTTTCCAGCTTCTAGATTGTTGATAGTGTTATTAATACTTGCATACAGCATTTACCAGTTTCCAGATATCTTTAACATTATCTCCCTTGATCATCTTGTGAGGCAGATGTATCATATCTTTTCTTCATTTTAGAGATACTAGGTGTCTTTCATGGGACTCTGGTAGCATAGTGCCTAAGGCACTTGACTGTTAACCAGAAGGCTGGTAGTTCAAACCCACCAGCCACTCCTAGGGAGGAAGATGGGGCAGTCTACTTCCGTAGTGATACTGCCTCCGAAACCCAAGGAGGGGTCGCTATGAGTTGGGTCCAACTTAACGGCACCTAACAACAACAACAACAGGTGTCTTTCACAGAGATATAAAAACTTGTTAGAAGGGATACCTGACCCAATGTAGACCTTTGCCTCCAAACGCAGTGCTCATTATACCATTGCCAGTAGACTAGCTTTATCACATCCTTTAAGTGTATTTTTTATCAAAAATTGCAAGCTGCGGTTTAGATCATTTATTTAACCATATAATCTAACTGGCAAAGGCCCATCTTCATTTTCAAACCAGTGAACCAAATTTTATTCTTTGTCAGAAAGTCTGACTTAATTTTTCAATTAAAGGAAATCTGTTCCTTGGATTTAAAGGGCTACCATAAACTCCATAGAGGAATAAATTACAGCATATATTTAGTAAGCTAAGTTGCCAAAAGGAGTCAAATTTAAATGTCGGAGATCTAATGTAATCAATTTATCCTTTTTTAATAGTAGGTTTTAAAAGCTAGCCAGTATTTCAGTATGCAGTTTCTCATTACTTAATTTGAAATTAAACAATATTGTATATACCTAATATTAGGTAATACGAGGCTTTTCATAAAGCAAAGGTTATCTTGAAAAACATTGTATTCCTGCAGTAAATATGTGCATTGCATATATTGAACTCTAGTATTTGGCTATTTTATTTTTTAAATTTATTGTTGTATATATTTATATCATTTTTCTAATTCAGCATTTTTCAC